CATTTTTTTTTTTTTAGTATTGTAGGTTCTTTAAGATGAGTTTTGCTCAGAATGTTGACTATCAGATTTTTTCTGATGTTGGATGTCTACCACTTGAAAATTCAGGTAGTATTTGCTTCTCTCCGTATCTCTATCTTTGTTTTTTATTGTTCTTTTTCGATAATGTTTCAGATGAATAGTTGTGTTCTTTAAATTGGGTTTTCCCTTATATTTGTTTTTGTGCATGTATATGTGTTCTAAGTTGGGAACTTTGGGTTTTTGTATGTTATGAATTGCGTATTCTCTGTGCGTTTATATTTTCAACGAGGTGGTTTGCCTCTCGCTTTCTATGTATGTGTGTGTGGGGTGTGTAAGAGAGTTTTGAATTGGGTGTTTTGTTTGTATATGTTCACCTTTTAAATTGAGTTTGTGTGAGTGTATATGTTGTGATTATATATTTTGAGGTCAATTTAGATGAATATTAGGAGCATTTGTGAGGGTAGCTTAGCTGGTGAATTAAACTATCTTTTTCCTAAACTTTTTAGAAGATTTTACTGATTAGCTTGATGGCTTTCAATATGTGATTATAATGCTTAATGTATGTGTGGTTGGTGCCTATAAGTATCTAACTACTAATGATCATTCAAAGTTTTGAATAAAGAATTCCTACTTTAAGTTTGAGTTGAAAGTCATGGAATTTAAATCGTACATGTGTTGATAGTTAGTAGTTTCATTAATTTTTTAGCAATGCTATTGGGACATAATTTGGAGACTTAATAATTGTAGTCATTAGATTGTCAGTGGGTCCCAACATTAAATTATCACTGGATCCTAACACTATCAATTCAATGATCATAATGCATTAAGTCCCCAAATTATTTCCCTAAATTATATCTCAATAGCATTAGTGTTAATTTTTTTTCAAGTTTGTGTAGTTGTTATATTTGTTGGGTTGATTAGTTTTGAAAAAAGTGACCAAATGATGATTAGTATATTGTGGCATGATAGTGATTCATGTAATTGGTTTGGGTTGTGTGTTTTTTATAATTTTTTTCAATAATAAACTTGCATGTACCACTTACTTGGGTTTTGAGGTATGGTTATCAAAACATAGAGACTGTGTGCTCAGATTAATTTTGTTTTGGTCATTTTTTTTTGAGGAAATTCGATCAATTGCTTTTAGAAAATAGTCGACAAGATTGATTTCAAATTGTGTAATTATAGAAAATGAAAGAAAAATAAACCGATTCGCAATTTTTCTGTGTTTTACAATGCCTTTAGGCTCAGGTTATTATTAGTTACCTAATATAGGGGAAGAGATCTCAAGAGATGATAATTCACTTTAGTGGCTCACAGGTGGTGATATACTTAGCTTGTCGTGAGTATAGCATCGCAGATCATTCCTATGTAATGTTCCACGAGTAGTCTGCTCCCCTCAAACAGGTGTTTCTCCCTAAGGCTTCCCCCAGCTAGATTTTTGTCCTTGACTCGAGCACTAATTGGGAGATAAGAGAATAAATACATCCTCTAACATCTCTTCTTCAATACACTACTCCCCATGAATAGATGGTGGAGGAGTAGAGAAATACGGCTCTGTCTCATGGAATGTGACATTCATACTAACATACATAACATTTATACCCGTTCTGGATAGCAGAGTAGCCAATAAAGACACAATGCAACGCCTTTGGATCTAATTTTTCCTTCGTCCTTCGATAATCTTGTACAAAACACTAACAACCAAACACCTTTGAGCAAATAGAGTAAAGAGAATCTGTCATATGGTTAGTGGCTCTGGAATCGATAATCCAAAGATTAGAGGAACAAGACACAGTAAAAGTGCTGGCATGTATACTTGTGTGAGCAAAGTTGAAAATAGCATAAGTGCAAGTAGATGTAGAAGAAGTATCAAGATAGGCCATCAGACGCGTGAGAACCTACATCTCATCAACAATAAAACTTGCACTATTAGTACCAATAAATGGAGATAGACCGCTGGAGGTAAGAATAGCAGTCTCATTCATATGGGCATGTGAATGCACAGGACAAGTCCTATTACCACCACGCTCCCTAGAAGGATGACCATGCAGCTTCCAGCAATGGTCTTTAGTGTGTCTCATCTTTATACAGTAGTCACATTTTATCAAATCCTTTTCAATGCTCCCATTTTTATCATTACCATAGGCTAAAAAGATATGTTATCTCTATGTGGAATAGCTGCTAGAGCAGACCAATCATGAGTAGGATTATAAAGCATGATACTCCTACTCTCCTCTTGCTGCAAAGAAACATATGCTTTCTTCAAGGAAGCAGAAGGATCTCTACCCAAAACCTGCATACTGATTTGATCATACTCCATATTGAGACATACAAGAACATCATATACTCGTTCCTTTTCTATCAACCTCTAAAATTTAGCACTATCTCCAATACAATCTGTTTGAAAATCCTAGTACTTGTCATAGACTACTTAATCCTGCAGAATACTCTACAATAGTAATATCCCTTTGTTTGGTTTTATGAATCTTCTTCAAAACTCATAAATCTGGGCATCATTCTCGACGTGTGAATATTTTTGAGTCACCGCTGACCAAATCTCACAAATTGTCCCAAGAAACAGAAAATCACAGCTAATGTGAGGATTCATCGAGTTGAACAACCATGTCATTACCAACGAGTTCTTAGAGATCCATTGGCTCAAATCAAATTCAAATTTGGGTTTCTTACTTTCTAGTATCCATTTAGCCCACTTGTTTGCGCTAATAACATGCATGATCGGGTCTAAGCTAAATAGTTGCCCCCATCTAATTTTGTTGGACTGATCTGGAGCGAACAGTTGCATTCAAGAGTCCCTACACGACTCACCACCTTTCTTAGTATAATCTGCACCAACTCTAAAGATGTCTACTCAGAAAAATAGAATTTTCCTAACATAAACCAACTACTGAATAGCAGTTTTGAGATTAACCCAACACAAAAAAAGACCAAACTAGCAATTAGAAAAGCAAAAAAGCCCAAACCTAGCAACCTACAATACAAAAAGACCTTCATAGAGGCCACAACTCTCCATAAAACACAAAGCACAAACTTGTAGTGCACAAACAAGTCGAGAGCAAAACACCACTGTCGGAGACTGGAGAGTCACAGTTGAGGCCAAAATATTACTACCCCAAGTAAAACACCACAACTGGAGCAAGAAAGCACCACGTGTGGAGCAACATCCCCAAAAACTCAGTAGGATGTGCATAGAACTCAACCAAAGCTCCTAAAAGACTTGGTCATCACCTTGCATTAAAGTGGTTGGAATGGTCGAACACTTTGCCAAACAGTAGATCGCAAAATATAACTCATAAATTTCGAAAAACATTCAAAATTCGAAAAAACACATTAGATGTCTTTAAAAAATTCCAAAAAAATTATCATTATAATCATAAGGCAAAACCGACTCAAACCATGCCGTGTTTCGTAGCTTTTGGCAATGACACCAGCAACACGCCTTCCTGAGTGACTTGGAACTTTCGACTGTTCTTCACCTGAGCCGACGGGTAAGAAATAGTGCATTCCATCTTCCGAGTCAATGGATTGCGGAAAGCCAATTTCTTAGCCAACCCTACTCGATCGAGAGTAATGTTCCAAGTTGAATTCCGTCCAAAAAATTGACTTGAAAGTCGGGTAGGAATATGGAATATCTCACATATTTTTAATTTTTAAGTTATTAATTTTTTGGTCATTTTAACAACTCAATTACAAAATTTTTGAGCAACTTGTACAATTAGGGTATTAAAATATAATATAAGAACATGTAACAAATACAATAAACCAATAACACTAAAGCAAACGCAATAAATTCGATAATATGAGCATATAAAACGACGTCGTTTTATACCAAAATATATTATTTTAAAAAAAAATCAAATATATGTGCAGATCTGATAGGAATGCCGAATGTTTATGGGTATTTCGTATACTTACGCGCGGTTTTATGGAATAATAAAATTTCTTCCATTGGCTAGTCGAAATTTTGTAAAATTCCAATAATCGAGTAGGGTCATATCGAAAGGAAGCGAAACGGGACAGGTGGGCGAAATTTCGAACATCCTTAACTGCTCTAATACCAAGTTGAATCTAAAGATCTTAGATTCTAAGATTTTTGGTGGAGAACAGGGAAGAGAGGAGAAAAGAGAATGAAGAGACTAGAAAAAAGGGTTAAGGAGAATGAGAGTTAACGTACCTCTCCTCTAATCACCCACATTTACATTAACTCATAGTAAATTGTAGATTGCAATAATACCCTTAATTAAAATAACCTGACATTCTACACTAACATCTTTTCCTTTTCTTCTTTTTTGATAATTAATTTTCTCCCTAATTTTCAAGGATAGCGTGAATTTATATCCTAAGCCAAAAGCATTTGGTTTGTACACTGTATTTGTTTTTATCGAAATTGTCAAAAGGGGCATCCATTTGACAATTTTGTTCAGAAACACAGAACTAAAATTCTTTAGATAGTAGGCGCTAGTTCCATTTTTTTCTTACAATTCACGTGCTCTTCACCCCGGTACCTACTACGATTTTCAAACGATATATGCAAGTCTGCCTACCCCTTAGCCCTGAAATGATAGAAACTAGGAATGCAATAGAAGAGAAAAAGAAAGAAACCGAGAAGAACGAGAAGAAACTAGATCAAATTCCAGTTCCAATCGATAGTCACATCTCAACAACAAAGTCTGGCAAGTGCATTCATATAACACCAACTTATAAGCTGGGAAATACGGATACTTGCTGGGAGGTAGACGTGGCGAACACGTGTCCGACACGAATAAGCGTGAGACACGATCGGACACATGTCCAACAGTTCTAAAAATGTCTTGAACAGAAAAAGAAAAAATTTCCAACCAAATAAGGCTCGGATACATGGGCGATACGTGAGGTACGAGAGGATTACGACAAGGTAACATCTGTTATTTTAAAAAATTGAGGGGGCTAAAATGAAAAAAGAAAAAAAGAAAGAAACGTTGCCTTTATTGGTGGAAAAAGGAAGAGAAAAAAACAGGGGAGGGACGAATGTCGTTTTGCCTTCGTTCCCTATCCAAAATCACCATAGAGAGAAGAAGGCTTCGATCAAACCAGTATCTAGATCTACATTGGCGACGAGGAGAGGAAGAGGAGGGAAGATCATACCTAAGACTTGAGTATTGAGAGAAGAAATAAGTAGCCATAGATTTCTTCCTCTTCAATACATCACATCCAAATTGAGCCTCATCAATCTCTTCTTCGCTCTTTCCCTTTTCTTCTTTCTTTCTTCTACTTCCTCTCTCCTTCTTGTTCTCTCCTTCCTGATTCTCCTACATGCTTCAGTGATTTGTGTGTGGTTGCCTAGTTGTTCTTCAGTCTTTACTCTTTTATCTTCTCTCTCTCGAGATTTGAACGGAGACTTTTCCTTTAATATTTTTCTTCTTTTTTGGTATAATTTGTTTATTAGTTGTCAAATAAATTAAACCATTGCCCAATTTGGTTTTAGTCCACAGTTCAATTTGGTGTTAGCCCACACCACAATTGTAAAATATTAGCCCATTGTCAAATTTGATATTACCTCATCGCTCAAGTATAAGATATTAACCAACTACTCAATAATTGTTAGGTCTTGTTATTTATATAAAAAATATATAATATGATTTTAATAAACCGAATCATTGTCATATTTGTGTCCTATATTTTAGAATTTTATCGTATCCCAGTGTCCACATCGTATCGAATACGACAACCGTGTCCGTATCCGTACTTCTTAGCTTATAAGTAATTCTAAAGTAACCTAATTAATAACCACCACAAATAACAGTATAAGAATAATTTTATGTAATTATTTTGTTGAATGTTATTTCTCAGAACCTAATTAGTCAACTCAGAACACTTTTGTGTAATTATAATCAGATCATTGAGGCAAGATAAAATATGGCCGATTATATTTATGCCTTGGCAGATATTAGTGCACAATGGAGGGGAGAGGGGGGGGGAGAGAGAGAGAGAGAACTTCTTGTTGTGCAGGAGCAAGTGGCCCCTTCAAAGCTTTTGCAATTAGATCCCTAACAGCTGCCCCTTTGCTAGTATCAGCACACATCCCATAATCCCATAAAAGCTCATGATTGTTGTCAGGGTTCAGCCAAACTAGCTGCAAGAAACTTGACAAGGATAAATCCAGGAAAAATAGAAGAAAATTTTCACAAATGATTTTTAATTTTTACTTAAACATATCATCTACCTCTCCATCCTGTATTGGGAGCCTTGGTGGACATGGCCTAATCCACCGAGGACCTAATCCTTCCAGCGATAAGTTTTGTAATGATCCAATTAGTGTCTCATCTCTGTTGCCAGATCCGATTTTAGGTTTAACTCCAGGCTGCATGTCAAACCTGAAATTTGATCCCAAGGCCAGATAGATGAAAAAATGGGCCAGAAATAAATGCAGAACAAACAATCAAGAGTAATTGACTAGGATAATCTCTCAGCTGGAATCTTTAAAGAACAAAAAGAGTTAAAGCCTCAAAATTATTGTGTTCAAAGCAATGAGTCATACTCTGGGGAATTTTCATCACAACCACGGGGTACATCAGGGTCTGGTACCACATTTTTGACAGCACTGTTCTTGAATAAACAATTAAATGGTAGTGTATGAACTTTATCACAATACTGCTGCTGCAACTGCTCGCGTTGAGGAAAAGCCTAACACGGTACAATTATTGATCAAGCTAAGGGTAAATGGAGAAGATACACATCAGCCATTGATGCAAACCCAAATCACTGTCTCGATCACAAGGATCACCAGCATCTTAGGCATGATGTGCAGTTTGAAATCAAAAGCATATGTAGTTGCCCACATTTGCCAATATGTATCTGTACAACTCACATGTGATGACAGGTCAAAGTTGTTCATGTAATCCACAGCACTCTGTTGAAGAACCTGTATGAGATCAGCCATTTCAGAAACACAAGGGCACTGGAAAGAAAAGAAAAGCACAAAGGCAGAACAAAAAAACATAACACAGCCTGACATGAATAGATTCTGCTAGCTGAATCATAAGTTAACACAAACTGTCACCTGAATATCTCTTAGAAAAAAACATAGCCTATAAATTAACCATTCGGGAATAGAATTAACTGCATCCAATTGAAACCTTTCACAGGAAGCAATTCCAAGCTTCTACAGATGCAAATTAGATGGATTAAAACACAATAGGAGTATGGTCATTGAAAACTCTGATATGGCTATGGTAAGTAAATTGTGAAAACTCTGATGTGGCTATAGAGGGACCTTCATACAAATTCTACCCTTGTTTGCTTTGTGAACCACGCCTCGAATGCATCAACAATACAAATATGCCCTTGCATTGCTAAGTAGACAAGTCTAAGACACAACCCATTCCTCAACACATATAGCAAAGTTCAAAGAACAACAATGTTTTAAACAGTTAGAGTAAGTATAAGATTCTGACTCATCCTAAACCTAATCATTCTTGCAATGAGTTAAATCAAGAAATCAGTCAATGGGTGTCGATCTGCACTGCTTGCTCACATGAAAAACTGCTGCAATTAACTTTCGTCTAAGATTCTGAATCACCCTAAACTAATCATTCTGGCAATGAATTAAATCAAGTAATCAGTCGGTGGCTGTCGATCTGCTATGTTTGTTCACATGAACTGTTGCAACTAACTTCTGGCCACACAGCATAAGCAACTATTGGCTAGAAGCCTAGAAAATCTTAATCAACAAAATTCAAATCAAAATTATAAAAGTTTAAAAAAAAAAAGAAAAAAAAAACTGAATGAAACCTCTTTACTATTGGGGCAGCTGGCAGAGCCTAACAATTGAAGGATAAATGCCCTTTCACATTTTTCAGCTTCATCATCACATGCTGCCTGCAAATTCCCAGCAGTATGAAGAACAAATATATGATCCTCCAATCATAATGATCAATTACATATACAGGAAAATACAAAATAAAAAGTAGCACCTAATTAATATTGGAAGTCATAGACAAATAATAAATGTGTCTTTCTATTGTTTCGTAGAGTGCAAATGAGACGTGCTGCATCATAATGCTTGCCATGTAACCATTCGGCTTTGAGAAAAGGAGACATGAAAGGTTTACTTGGTCATTCCAAAGTCCAATCTCGAGTTAACCACTTTGACCGTAAGTCTCCAGAATGGTGGATAGAAGCATCACAAACCAAATCGAAAACATCCAGGTGTCATTGCATTTAAGACTCAAGAGCAGAAAAGAACAAAATCTCTTAAAAAATTTGTGCATGCTTATGCAGGTGCCCTATGTAGTGTTTTGCCTCCAGAATGCTGAACAGAAGCATCACAACCAAACTGATATGAAGCAGGTGCCATTGCATTCAAGTGCAGAAGAGAACAAAATCTATTAAAAGGTTTGTGCATGCTTATTTCATTGTTGTATATAGTGTTTGGTGTGTGAGTGAGAAAGAGAGAGAGAGATGATATCTCCTACATATAATACATCATTATATGTTGTGCCTTGTGTGTGGTCATTTTGAGCCTCTCTCTTTGATGCAAACTCCTACATAAAACACACAATTATCTGTTACATTATTTACATGTTTTGTGTGTGGTCATTTTGTGTCTCTGTCTCTCTCTAAGTCCAAATTCAAGTTAACCAATTTGTGCCATAAGTCTTCAGAATTGTGGGTACAAGTACCACAACCTAAATCAAAAAAGCAGGTATCACTGCAGTACAAGGGCACAAGAGGACCAAATTTTTTAAAGATTTGAACCCGACATGTGGGTGTTGCATGTAAGTGTGAGAAAGATGGAGGGAGAGAGAGAGAAGGAAAGACACGCTCTCTCAAATACCCTCATCATCATATTCCTATAATCATATAGACACACGGCATAGCATTACTCCTTTTGACCTATACGTCCGAGGTTCGAGTCACAAATATAGTCTCTGCTCATGCAAGAGTAAGGTTGTGTACATCTGTTTCACTCCTGACTGAAGCCTCATGCACTAGGCCACCATATAGACACACAAATACAAACCTTTATAAACAACCTCTGACATTCAAGTTTAAGACAAATTATGTAAAAGGTATCACAGGCTAAATGAAAAGAATGCTGCTCTGGCCAAAATGACCTTAATACTAATAAGAAATTTTCTAGTGGATCTTGGCTCGCAAAGAAGTTGAATAATGCCAGGCTCCATCTTTCCAACCTTAATTCTTGCTTGGAATAGATTATCAATAATTTCCGTTCAGTAATCCACCTCGAGAAGACCTCCATAGTCAGCACCAATCTTCCCAAATGTTTCCATTGACCACAAATGCAACAACAATCCTTCCAATCCAATCCATACACCCAAGAATGATACTTTGCTTTGACCTGCATTCCCTTCTAGCACCCGTTTTGTCAATCAAATCACCAAAGATTCTTCTTAAACACACTTCTCATTCTTACAAATTTCTTTTACCATTTCTTGACTTTTAGAAATGAAAATTGCTTTGTCCACTTGGAAGGGAAGTAATCTTCGAATTTCAAGACTTTGATAAAAGCTGGTTGAATCAACCTCCATAGATCAAAAATACTTTATCGGGTAAAAACCACTGCTAAATCCCACTTTCCATAATTGACCACATATATTTAAGATGACTATTGCATTGTTTTTACATTATCTTCTCTGATATAATTTTCATTTTGATCAAGGAAATTTTGTCCTCTGTTTATGTCGTTCTTTATATCCTCACCCTTCCCCTACAATTTATTTCTTTTTATAACTTTCATGACTTTGTTTTAGAACTCCAATCAGAACCTCAAACAATTTTACTCACCCTATGCTATCAACCCCTTGAGGAACAACTATGAATCTCCACTCATAACTGGTATCCTTGCACTCTAAACTTTCTGAAGAAGATTTCAAAGTTTCTCCATTCCGATGCATCAATATTATGCGTATTACTCAACCAATGAAAACATCCCAACCCAATTGATTACGACATGTAACGAGTTCTTTCAATAATCTTCACAGCGTCCCCAAAGAAACTTCATCTACCTCAACCAACAAAATTTTATAGTCAAACTTAAAACCTTGGCCAAGATTGCTTGAATCTCTTAATGCTAACATAATGTCACATCTAGACTAGGGAAATGAATCCCAACAAACACGACTTGAGACTCACAAGAGGTCCAACCGGTCAACCCCCATTGACCCCTATAGTAAATTCATCCAAAGACTTTAAAGTAGTCACAAGATTAGAGAATTTTATGGATAGTAAACCAATATTTTGTGTGTTACTAGTACTCTGGTTGTCCCGGACATTCAAGAGACAAGGTTGGAATAAAGGGACAAAAGATGACTAACACCAGAACTTAAGGTTATAGTATCGACCATCGCCTCAAATCACAATCATACAGTATAGGCCAATATGCTCAAAATACTATATAGAAGGCCCTAAAAATATTACAACAATAATAGAAATTTTTAAAACGATAAACAACCAAATTCATACTTCATATTGTCCAAATTCAGCTTATTTCAGTTATGTTAACATCAATACTCCATGACCTTTCTTTCGCTTCCACAGTAAAGATTTTATGTTCAAAGTTCATGTGCCCAGCATTATTTCATGAGAAATTAAGCATATAAAAATTAATTGTTGGAGATTTGGTAATGATAACATATTTTTACAAAGTATGTGACGTTTAGAGATTAGTTAGGTGATGGTTTACCAAAGCTTTCGATAGAGGGGAATTTGTTGAGCTATGTAACAAATTATGCATGACAGATATTTATACTCAAGCTTGAGAGAGAGTATTGAGTAATAAGAGTTTTGGGTGTATCTAAGGATTTTATGACCTAATATTCGCATGTATATCCTTATTGAGCCCACTTGTAGGCAATTGATTCATACCCAATTCTTCTATTCCTATTTTTAATACCTGAACCCCAACACGAACGTAATATTATATTTTCCAAATTCTAAAGCAAACCTTTCTTATAAAGAAGTTTCACATTTATTTTATGTTGTTTCTTGGAATAACAAATTTGTGTGCAGAATGAACAGCCCTAGAAATCTTTGTGGGTTAATATTAATCTTCATATTTCTATGCTTTATGAATTTAAACTCTCATAGAGTAACTCTTTGATTATAGAACTCTCTTGCTACTCAAAAATTCCTTAAAAAACCTAGATAACAACCACCAACACCACAATAAAATCAACTCCAACATCAAAAATAATAAATATAAAGGTCACAAAATAAAACACATGCACAATGAATACCAAGACGACATAATGAATGCTTCTAAGTATCAAATCATAACAAGAATGTCACTCTTCACTTACATTCACAAGAAAGGAAATGAGAGGGTTTGAAGAAGGTTGTTGGGAAGAGTAGGCATGATGAATAATAGCAAATGCAACCAAACGCTGAGTAGATTTAAGCATTTTATCCTGCAATGAAATAACATGGAAAAAGTCAGCACTCACTACTATTTACATTAGTTTAGAAAGGCATATATGACTGAATTACCTTTGCACCCAAAAAAATGCAATGTCTCTTCCAAAGAGATAATACTATACAATTTGAAAGTCCATAAGATACTCAACATTTCGGTTATATTTGAGGATAGAGGCATTTGTCTAATTTTTAGAATTTTTGGAATGGGTTGCAAAGACTCACGGATCTTGTTTTCGGCCATTGTATTTTATTAGGCCACATTGATTGATTAGTTCGGTTCGACTAATAAGGTTTTAAGTTCCAACATTTGTGTCATTAGTCCTTGTTGGAGTAGGATACCTCTTGGAGTCTATATTAACACATGTAATATTTTAAACTAAATGGAGATCAATTTTAGAGAATTTGTTAGAGCTTTTAAAGCCACTTGGGTTTTGTATGATGCAGTCCTAACCCCATGTGTAATGCATAATGGATTCCTAGTTTTATAGGCATGATTCCTAGTGTTCTTCTCCTTATTCTTCTTCTCTATCAAGTTTTCTACAACTTAGTACTTGTAAGCATACTCATTTAAGGCCTATTCTTACCCCCAAGAAATCTACAGCAAATCCAACCTTTTCCTTTTAACATGCCCTATACTCAAATTTTACTGTTCACAAATTATTGTCACAACCAATGAAAGACTTCATTCCACCTTTAAAGCCCTTTTCCTTATAGATCTTCATCAACCAAACCCTTAAACATTCTCAATGTTAAATCTTTTATTTATTCGATTGATTGAATGTTCTTAGTAAAATTTGATACTTTGTAGAATTGTTTGATTATTCATCAACATGATTGATATCTTAATATGAATAATGCTTATAATACTCAAAATTATTTTAATTAGTTCTTCAAAGTTTATTTTTAAATCAATCAAACTAATTGTTCATTCATCAAAATATTTTTTGGTTGACTACACTGACGTTAGAAATCAATCGATAAAATCAATATTGCATAAATATAATTTTCTAATAAATATGAGCAAATTTGGATTCCCAAACTAGAAAAAATTTTCAAATTATTGTTTACCTTAAATTTACTTTTCCAATTGTTTCTCAATCAATTCTACTTTTTACAAATCTATTCTTTCTTATATTTTATTCAATTTATCCATTCCCTAAGGATCGACCTCGGACTACACCAAGTATTACTATAGCTTGACCAAGGGACTTAGGTGTACCACATTTAGATTCAAGCATTAAGGAGAATTTTGAACCAATTGAAAATCCGCTTTTCCTCGACTCGACAAAGCACCAACCAGTTTCGACTCCAGTAGCCCGAGCACAATCAAAGAGATAAAGTGTGGAAGTCGAAGCAAAAGTACACCACATAAAAGGGCTCTCATAAAAATGATAGTTATGGAATCCTCTCCCAAAGGGAAGTACTAGTTCTCCCACAAATGAGGTATAATAGGTCAAAAGATCGGGTCAAGGTTTGTCAAGGTGAAACTTGTAGGCACGACACAAATTGGGTGATTTGCTATTGAAGGAGAGTTAAGAATTTCTAGATTGGCATTAATCAACACATGGAAAGAGATTAAAGTTGAACTTGAAGAAAATTTAATGTGCTCAAATTAGTGTGGAATATTGTGCAAACAACTTGCTAATCAACATGTAAATCACAAATTATATACAAGACCCTCATCAAGCAATCGCTGGACTCAAGCCACAACTGTTGTGACAATCTCTAATTAATGTGGAAAGTCTACTTCAGGTGGCACTTGACATGAAGAAATGCATAAAATTATAAAGTGAGTGAATACACGACTAAATCGAGGATTATACCTTCCCTAAAAGCTCAAAACTCAAACTTAGTTGAATTTTAGTATGTTGTTCATCAAAAAGCTACGCAAATCAACAAGCAATCAGATAATTCAAAATAAAGTAGATCAAGTTGATGAACCTAAGAGACCTCAAGCCACTTCTCTCATCGTTTGACTAGAAGTTAAAGTAAAAAAATAAAAATTTGAACTATTTTTATGATGCCTAAAAGCGTGGAAGAAGTGGCGACATTCATAAATCAATTTGCTTTTAAAGATTACTAAGATATTATCTAAGTATTCTGAAAGATTGCCAGAAGAGTTGCCCAACAAATCCCTCCAATTGATGGTGGACATCTTGCAACAAATTATTTTGTTAGTTCCCAAGTGCATGATTTGTTTACATCCTCCAAGAATCGAAATGAGCGGAAAGAGCCACAGATGCAACCACATCCCACAATGCTCAAGAGAAGGTCAAGGTTAAAGCAAAAAAGGATATAGTAATGGAATCGAAAACTCTAGATTTATGTACATTAGTAATGTTGTTAGGTGCCAAGCATTTTATAACTTCTAAATTCCCTAGAATGGTTGATTTACAGTGGAGTTTGACAAGTTAAGCGTCCAAGTATCTATTAGTTGTCCCAGTTAAAGTATGACATCTCTTGGGGCGTATATAAAAACGTGATCATTTAGAACAAATGGAGATCAGTTCTAGAGAAATTTCCCAAGTTTTAAATCCACTTTGGGTTTGTGTGATACGACCCAGACCCTCAATCCGATGCCTAAGGTATTCCAAGAATAATTGCTAGTTTCTTCCTCTTCTTCTTTGCTTTTCAGTTTTAGACGGCTAATAACAAGCAAACAGCCCTATTTAAGGCCTCAATTGATCTTAAGAATCCCTAATTAGCAAATCCAACCCTTCCTTTCAAAATATTCAAACCCAACCTCTTTGAAACCTTAAAATGTCATTTTGATATTCACAGATAACTTCTTTTAAGGTCTAGGTATTCAGGTTGACAATTTCATAACTTATGTAGTCGCTCAAACATGAACAGCTAATCAAAAAAAAGCTCAAAGATGAAGACCGTCCATCACTTGAAGAAGAGCCAATGCGAGCCTCAAACTTGGAGAACACAAGGCTCACAAGAAGCATTATCAACGGGGAAGCTTTAAGCATCAAAAGGGAGTGTGTTGGACTCTTAGGAAAGTTATATTGGATTTGAACTAACTCCCGCACGTTAGGTAGCAAGCTCCGGGTCAAAATGGTTACGAAAGTGCAAATTAGAATAGGAACCCTTCGGCTAGTTGACCACCTGCCAGAATTTGCAAAATCCAAATCAATAACTAGTCGTTAGCTACACCTAGTATATATACACCCACTCATTTCCAGATGCTAAGTAGATAATTTTGAGAGCAAAACATCCTAAACACATTAGCAAACACCATTAGAGAGCGTTTGAGTAGATTAGAGTGATTCACATAATTTTCTCATAATAAGCAATAGGCCAATCTCAAGCACAATAAAGAGAATTTGTGCAAATGTTGGCAAGTAATCCTTGAGCAAAATAATTGCATTTTTATGTTTATTGTTGAGCACATTATTTATCACAGACATTTAACCACACAAAGATAGAAGAGACTTGGCTCAAGGGTGAGCATCTAAGTCCTTAATTGAGAATTGATTGCAAGATTGTAGAGAAGTTTAGTGGGCTTAGGTGGTTTTGGGTGAGCCAATTGAAAACACAATGCGGATTCATTGTTGTTGTCTCAACAAATCCTAGTGAGGCCTCGAGTAAGATGTAAGATAGCAAGTGGCCTTAGAAGTCTTGTAGAAAATTCTAGATCAAACTATAGATTTTCTCTAAAATACTCACACTTAACTAAAGCTAAAAACTTATTGAGTAGGAAAAGAAACATTAAGTTAGCTACCCTAGCTTGAATCAAGAAGTATAGAAAATGATAATTAGGAAAAAAAAGACCAAAAAAAAAAAGTAGTCCTATTCAACACTCCTAGGCTTTTTCAATTCTTCAACTAAACCTAACCCAAATAGCTAATATTTTGTACCAAATTTGTGGTGCTACATCACCATCCCAATGTAAGTTAGAGAGAGAAAGTGGGTGAAGCTAGGAAAGATCCAATGTTTCAAACAACGAATTGTAGAAGTACTTGAAAAATAGATGCCCTTAACACTTTCCACCTTTTTGTGTTTCAGACACCTTTAAACCGACCAATGCCAATTCCTGAGCTAGGAGGGAGATCCACTTGGAATAGGTAGGCTCAAGTCGGTGAAGACATAGTTTGGTCATATATGAATACCGATGAACATAAGCTATGATTATTACTAGTAAAACAATGGCAGCCATCCATGAGTAGCATTAGTTAAACCTTTTCTAAGTAGAGTTTGAGTTCCACTTGATCAATGTAAGTGACAATATAATCTCTTCAACAACACATCATGATGACATCATCAAAACAGCCCTACAATAGCCCTTTAAATCAACACACCATCAGAGGTACCCAAAAAAATAGTTGCTAGTGATACAAAGTACATAAGCATCATGTAAGGGTCTAGCCTTGGAGAATAACGGTTACCCTTTAGTATGGACAAATATTTTTCCAGCAAAGCCAGTCAAAAAAGATAAAAATTCTACTTTTTTCTCTATATTCCTTCAGTGACTTGAAAAACCTTGCATTCATAGGACAAGAAAATGCATTCCATTGTCTTTTCGGCCAGGGGCCATTAAAAGAGAAGAAAGCCCATTTAGTCAGCATGTGTAGCTTTAGTCAGCATGTGTAGCTTTAGGAAATGGTTTTACCTCCATTTAGTTTCCAGGCCGGATTCAATGGGAAGGAAATAGAAAGGGGAAAATGATGAGAGGTGCCGATTCCATCATATTTTTCTCTTGATAGATAAATTAAGGAGAAATTCGATAGGGAATTATGAAATGGAAAAAGGGCTATGATGCCGTATATCACCAATTCTCTCATTCAACTAAATTAAATGTTCCTCCTCATTTTTCAAAGCAGCCAAACATGAGGAATTGATTATCTTTTCATTTTCCTTTCTTTTTCTCCACTAAATAAATGAGCTAAAAGGAAGCAGAGGTTATGATTCAGAAAACCCTTCGGACATGTTAGCCACCATGGAATTGAGGTCCTGGAATTGGAATTTGAATTGGGAACAACAATTAGTG